GAAGTTGGTACGAACCTATATCAAATAAAAGTACATTATATAATAACCATTCGTATCTATACTCTAAATTATATCTAAATCTTAACATTCAGCTGTTGGCACTTTCTATTATTTTTATGATAATTAAGAAAACGCCTTAACAAACATGTTTATCACTTAATTTCAGAACTATTGAACACATTTTACCATACTAAATTTAAGTAATAATATTATCATACATCTACAATACTTAATGAATCGTTATTTATTAACAAAACATTCCAAAGATTTTATTTTATGGTGTGGAACCGTTCCAACAGACTAGACGCGTAGAGGCTGTTTGTTTGGTAACTTTTTTGTACGATTTTTGAAATCATAAGTCCAATACTCGCATTGAATACACATTACATTGTCCACCGTATATTATGATCTCTGTCATGCGTGTCGTCAACCACTGCAAGTTCAAAGGGATATCGCTTGCAAAAGAAGGGCACTGATAGTACCAATGTTGGTTATTTTGGTAACCTTTTTTTTTATAGTATTCGTTACATGGCTATATGGTATAGGTATATTGAGATTTTTTGACAGGTTCGTTGTCAATTACTTAGTTAAATGTTTTAACTATTCAGTGATTTTCAAGTGTAGAAGTATGCAGAGTTCACATTAAATCATGCAAATTGATACTTGTGTTGACTAATAATACGCAATGCTTTTACAATTCGGCAAATGTTTTAACGAATCTTCGGTATTTTAGCAGAAAAATAATTAGTAGTACTACTTATAAGCGTGCCAACGTCTTAAAGTCTGCAGTACGCTCCAGATTTCACTGTAAAGTTCTTGAGTTAACAGCAATAATTTGAGTAACATTTGTGATCAGTGGCGTTAAAAGGTTTCATTAACAGTGACAATGACTTTCATCACTACAGGTTTAAGATTCTACAAAGAAAAGTTAATTACATTTTTCTCTCGGATTTGGGTAACTTTTAGAAAACCGTAGTTGCGTATCAACGAATTCATAGCAGCAAAATACCGAAATAATTTCCAAATATTTAGAGATATCAATGTATTATCTGCTTAGACATACCATCCATTCTTAATTCTTTGTGGAATGCGATATGAATAGAATATTATTCGTCGATATATGACCTTCGTTCTTATTATAGAGTGCTCCAGTCAATTAGTTTTATACATTTCACTTATTCTACAATTGAAGTTTATCAGCAATTTATACTGTTAGTAGTACAGGCTTCTGGATATTGTTGCAAAGCTCAATGACCATTGAACAGTTTCCATTGGAACTTCGATGATTCACTCTTATAGTCAAAATGTTGTTAAACGCTTGTGCTATCATTATATCTTCGAAAAAAGAATTTTACAAGGCTGATAAAATATCAAAATGAATAACGGCTATACAATTTCACTTCAGCATTCTCCTAAAGATCAAAATACCTATTATTAATAGTTTTTTACCTTTTTATCAAACTCAGAATAGTCTGTATAGGACTGGACGTATCATGGAATATTATTGAATCTTTCAACTAATCTGTAAATTACATGTACAAATGTTTTTATATGTACAAGGAAGTGAATCAAAGTGATGGGAGCGTTTTTCGGTATTTGTATTATAAATGTTATGATAAACAGTGTTTGCATTATGATCCAAAATCATAGCAGTTGTCAAAGTGGACTCCCTTCCAACTACCGAAATATATTTGTGATAATTTTAATTTTGAGATCAAACGTTTGAAATCATAATACTTAAATCCTATGAATTCCTTTAAATTTACATTCTAAATTCTAATTTCCAAAATTTTAATCATAATATTAGCATGAAGTTGTTACTAATTAGAATTGAGTCTAAACATCCATGGCGTGCTTGTTGTCCGTGTGAGAACCGAGTGATATGATTTAATTAAGTAAAGTGATGTGGCCAATTGAAAATGAGATGTAGCTGTTAAAGCAAATATGAACAAGACAATGACCCTCGAAAACCGAAAACTTTTTAAAAAAAATATGCATACGTCTTCAGAAACATAGACTTCACCTAACGAGATCGTCAGACTCATAATTGGTACTACAACTATGTTTCCGATATATATAAATGTATTAAACTTAAAGAAACAAGGTTTAGGTTCTGGACATAGAATCGAGGTAACATTTTAATACTATGTTTCTCATTTTTCTTTTAAAAAAACTGTGTTAATATCAAAAGTGTTTTTATATTTAAATGAGTTAATATTGTTTCTAAAACCTGGTAATAAATTCTTAACTTTTATATCTTCTATCCATAAAAAAAAATTCGCCTGAAGAAAGTTTAAGATTTCAAGATAAAATCTCTATTTAAAGGTAACCTGGCGAGGATTAATCTCACATTTTATCGACTTTTAGGAAAATTGTAAACAAAGCCTCATTTGATGAATTGAAGAACAGTTCATTTAGCAAGCTGGTTCCAGAAAGATAAAATATCAGGTCAGTTTCATAAAGGTTTGATTAAATAATGTAAAGAATACTATATCGATTAAGTCAATTTATAACAATATCGTTGATGAACGTTTTATATAAAAAAAAAATAGATGTAGAACAATTCCACGATTAAATCAGATTGTTAAATACTATAGGGATGATCTAGTGAAGATGATGAAAATTGTATGCTCTCAGTGTTGTATCAAAGTCAGAATGGTTGGTAATGAGTATATTAACTGATAAATGTCGTCATAAATGAGTAATTAAATGTATATCGTGTGAATGAACCCAGGGTGATACATCTGTATTATTTTATGGCATTTATTGTGCAAACTGGTTTCAGTGAACCCACGTGTTCGTTAAAAACCGAAATGAAGTAAATTTCGATAATTATTGAGCAGTGCTCTTTTTTTTTGAGGAAAATGTCGAAAATGCAACATGAAACAGTTTTGAGATAATATAAAAGCACGATTTCATTTATGTTATTTTGGCTTTTCTTAATGATTATATTTCTTATAATACAAAATAATTCTGGCAAAAAATGTCCTGGGTTGGTTCTGTGCCCACGTTTTTTAACCTTGAAAAAACTGAGTATTGTGGCCTTGATACTAAACAAAAAACATTGAGTACAAACCTCTTAACATATCAGAATTTCTTACAATCTATTTAAACATTTGCAATTTAATTAGTAATCTGACACAGCACCTATGAATCTTACTTTCTACAGCACCTGTAAGTCTAACCCGATATGTGATTCAATCACTTCAATTCTAACCTATTGTTTGATACAGCACCTGCAAATTGAACCTACTGCGTGATAGAGCACCAACAAGTCTAACATACCACCTGGTATAGCACCTACAAGTTTTCATAAAGATTGATAAGCACCTACAAATTTAACATATTCCGCCTGAAACAGCACCTACAAATCTAACATACTGCCTGATATAGCAGCTACAAATCTACACCAGAAGGGACAGGTGTGCCATTTTGGGGGTTTGATTTCAGTCTTATAAATATGTAAATAGTCTTCAGAAGTATTAGAAATGTACGAATGACACAATTCCTTTAAAAATACTTCAAACTAGGTCTATATATGTCTTTTCTATATCTCACAGAGTATCTTACAATGACGAGTCGCCATTTTAACATTCAAACGCTGATAATTCTAAAAGCATGGTTGCGAACTGTAGACACTATTACTGATTAGCTCAGCTAAAATATTCCAGTTATGAGACTAAAGTATGGTCAAAAAATGGCCTATCTATCCCTTTAAATAAACTGCTTGAGATACATTATGGTAAGTAAAAAGAAAGTCATCGTGAAAAAGACTTTCATCTTAAGCTGCTGATGTAACATCTATCAGGCTACTAGATATCTATATTCAATTCATTTGGTTCATCACCAAAATCTGTCGCCATGACAAATTTTTCAGTTGAACATTGGTCTAATGGGAAATCAGGATGAAATGAATTTTAGATTCTCATCTGTTCAGCCACTTTTAATTATCCAGTCTTTTTGCATTAGTCTACTTGATAGATTTCCTTTTGACTAGGTTTGTGCATTCGTGTTGTTTTACTCGCTGGTGGCTCCATGCGTTGCGGTTGTGATTTACTGACAGAAAACAGAAAAATACTATGAAATAAGTATTAAAATCTGTATTTTTTATTTCCTGCATAAATTAACTAAGATAAAGTCCACATTGGTTAAAAATGAAGATGAAAAGAATATCATTCAAATTGACGATGATGTCATCATACGTTAAAAGGATACTACCACTTAGAATGGGCATAACAATTTCTCAAACTTGGTCAACAAGTTAGTGAATACATGTATATTCATCAGTTGGACTGAATGTTTAATTATGACAGTAACAGGTCAACAGCAGGTCGCTGACCAAATGCAATATTGTACACTGTCATACTTATGTCACTATTATACGATTTCATTAATGATTACATGATATCAAAAAATTAAAATACTATAAATTCGAGGCTGAAATTATAGCCTACATACAATATTCAACAATTATTATTACAGACAATAAACTATACATGAACAAACAATACAACAAATAGTATCAATACGCAAAAATAGCACTTTTATAGTATCTCAATATGAAACAATATATCCATTAAACTTGATAATTATTGAATCACGCTTCTATGCATTTTTCAATATTACTTAGTTTATTGATGATTACTTAGTTTTATGGATTTATTTGATTATAGGAGGTTTCTGTTGTACAGTTTTGACACCAGGTAAGTCCACTGATGAACAAAGACTCATTTTAATGAAGTTTAAACAAATCTGGTCATTCTCAGAGGTAGTATACCTTTAAGTTTTCATAAAAGTGACCTTAGATTGCTTATATTGGTTAGTGAAACATATGCTTAAAATTATCGGTTCTTAGCACACTCATTATTAAAATATTGGTGCTAACCTCTTAGCTTATCTAAAAATGATAAATATGAAGCCTGTCTGATAATGTATTAAACAGCGTGGATTAAGAACTCTCGAATACATAAACATTTAAATTAAATAGCCCTAACACGAAGTTAAGATAAAATGAACATTTGTTGGAATCCTCTTAAGACTGATGAAAAGTTGATTTCAAGAAGATAAAAACCAATAGCTGGCATTCCTGTATTCCCAATAGATATCGTATTAGAGTCAATTCCTTTATTCCAAACAGAGTGTTGTTCAAAACCAGAAGACAATACATATGTAAATCTGACGTATTCCACATTTTTAACATATACATAAAATATCAAAGACTGTAATGTCCTAATAATATAACATATGCCATGTTAAAAAGATATAGCTACCATTTATCTTTGCTTTTGGGGTTATGAGATAAACTTTTATTTTCTAATTTTGTCATATACATTATTCTATGCTTACAAAATTTAACATAATTAATTTTGTATCAAATTTACAACAGCTGTGTCGAGATGGCAAGCATGATTGCTTTCTCTTCAGTTGTCATGAATTCCATTAATAATTATATTCTATGTTTAGGTTATTAAATAATCGACTAAACTAATATTATAGACATACACAATCTGCAAACTCGTCCTCATATAGTCGAGAGATGAACAATTTCAAAAACTAGCGATCCAGAAATGGATCAGAGCAAATCCACGAGAAAGTGTCATTCTATGTCTGGCCATAAACGTGCTGATATCCCACCCGTATATCACGTCCAATAATTGAGTAGGGCCAGATTAGAGGCTAGAAATCCTTCTTCTAGTTTGCTCAAAATATCTGACTGCACAGCCTATTATATAATAATAAAAATGACTTACCTATACGAGAAGAGATGACCAGCGTTACTAGTAGTCCGAACATCATCATTAACTTCAACATCAAATCCCACTTGAATAAAATCGTTGTAAGGTGTTAAATGATTGTTTTTCTATCCTCAACCACCGTTTATAAGACAAGATATTTAACTATTTATACGTCAAGATGAGATATCAATCAAATATTAACTTGATTACCATCAGTCCCTGTAGCTGCCTTCTGTAAAATAAAACACGAATGGTTTTCAAATTACTCCTCACCATCTAATTTCTTTTAGAAATATAATCTTCTTCCACGTGCCTTAATATTATTGAATCGCCAATACCACCCAGCTATTGTTTCTTAATTAAAGTAATAAATATATCACATCCCCAATATAACACATCACTATAACATGTACATCCATATTATTCACACCATTCAGACACCATTACTAGATTGACATGTACTAATTGTTACAATTCTTATATACTCAGTATTACAGACCTCGCTTCACTTATACACCATTACAGTTCACAGTGCTAATGATAAAGGACAGGTTATGGCCCTTGATTCAATTATTTCCTTTAAAAGAATTGAACTCCGTTAAACCCGATTCTATCTAACAGTAGAATAATAGTTGACATACGCCTCGTTTAAACTGCTAATATTATGATAATAAAAATAACGATCAGAAATATATTGTTATTGTTCAATTGTAGGTATGATGAGAAGGATGTCTGGTTTTAAAAACAAAAGAAATGGGACATCGTTCAATCATTTCAGATAAAAATTTAAATCCGTAGGTGTTGTTGGTGAAATAACTCACTGACTTTCAATGACGTAGGTAGTCTGTCTGCAATATCGAAACTCGCAACGTTGTTATACCAAACCTTTACTGACAGGTCCAAAGCATTAGGATTGTCGCCATAACATGAGAAGAATCTGGCCAAAAAATAGTACTCTTTAAAGCAAATAGTTACAGAAAATCGATAAAGTAAATTAAATCAGCTCATAATTCAACTATAAATTTTACAATTATTATCATCTATTCTAATTGTCTCACAGATATTTAAAAACAAGGGTGTGTAGTCTAAGAATTATCTATTTTCTGTCCTAAAATATGATATTGTCATTGATGAGAGATATCTGTACTTGGATAATAAGTGTATATTCATCAGTGGTCTTACGTGATATGGCACTGAAGAGATATACTAATCTTAGAATAGTTTCACATTCTAATTATTTTTTAGGACATAAAACTCCATGTATTTCATTTTTCATTTCATTCTAACTATTTAGCAAAGTGTACATATTATAACGATGGTGCGTGTAAATGTTAATTAAATTAAGTAAAGTATTGTTGAAGGGTAGGGAGACTGAGAGATACCCTGCCTCGCTACTAATTATACAGTCAGGGAAATAGAACTGTTAGTCCTTTGACAAACACTGCATGGAAGTACTCAGATAGAGTTCATCATAGAATCTAATATGATCTCTTGTCACAATCACAACTAATAATGTAATTTGCACACAGAAGAAAACTACTACCAGTATTTTAAACGATACACGAGTAATAATTATGATATAAACCAATCGTTAGTGATAATATTTTTTAAGATAGTTCATTTTATTTTGATAATAACTTACTACACAAATGATTTTTAAATCGTGATTCATTAAGAATTGAATGTAAACTATAGCATTTGTAACACTTAAAACACAAATAGCATCACAAAATTATACATTTGACCGAAACAACACTGTGTTTACCGCGACTGTAGTGATTGAATGTAAGAATTTTGATTTGTTGTTGCATCCACTTTCATACTTGCTGCCTTTTCTAATGTCTTGACGATAAAAAGAAACCTTCAACTCATTGAAAACATGGTAGAGAATTAGTTGTGATATTTCTCGAATATCAGTAAATTAAGAAGTTATGGATGTACAAGTAAAAGGAAAAGTGTGACGTGTTATTCGTCCAACCTCAACATCAGGCTATCACAAAAGGGTGGAGATGGCAGATTGCTATTTTTAGACTCAAAGTCTGGAACTGTCACATATCAAGGAAATTTTCAATGAAATATCTAGGAAAGGAGGTTATTAAACGATTTAAGCCGACAACAGACGATAAAAACATCACTTTCTCTTTAACAATCATTATTTAACTTTACTTAAAAGTTTCTATCGTTAAAATAAAAAAATTAAATCTTTAAACCAAGTTAATCACCACATCTGAAGAAAGGAATAGTTTTTTGTAACAGTTGTAGATTGATTTTAACGTCTTATATTACAATCCGGAGAAAACAAGATAACAGACAGGGGTTCATGCCAACTTTCTTTAAAAATTCAAATAAAACTTCCTTTTAATGAGATTGATATATATTTCGACGACGGAAATCCCATACTGTTAATTTGTTAACAAGATAAAAGAAAACTTTAAACTATCAAATAACTGACATGCACAGTCGTTTTCTTGACTATTTTTTAATCAGATCTCAGACTTAATCATTTAATAATAAATTAATATAAACCTATCCTTAATGAGTGTTAAATTGTATGTGAACAAGATTAATTGGAATGGAATTGAAGGGAGGTTTACGTTCTACAAAAACAGTCAGAATAAACTCCATAAAAAAAGTACCGCTCGCCAAGGACGAACCTAAATGAAAAGGTGATGCTCATGTTATGAACCACTGCGATTTCCTTACTCATTGAATCACTCCAGCTACTATAGTTACGAAATCGAACCTCAGCGAACCACGACTTCTTTTATAGAATGGAAGACACGCTTTGCTGAGTCTTTTCTTACTTACAAGATCCTTTCAATTAAATACAGGTTTCGATTAGATTTGTAAATAGTATGAACCATTCAGTACATTCTCAATGCTTAAAAGATCCTGATGTAAAGAGGGCGGTTTAGGTGAATAAAAGGTATGAATAATTCTTTCTGTCAGATATGATGGTAATTTGACGAGGACATTAATAATAAGAGTTTAACTTATATAAACCAGGAACATTTGATACAAATATATTTCTCTTCAGGTCCCAAGCTGCAAATTCAGCTTCTGGAATCTCTGAAATCACAGCCCTACCATGTCATTCAGCTGCTATTATTGTCAAGATGACAAGCTTCATTGATCTTCTGCAGCTACACAAGACACGCATCATTGACCCACAGCAGCGTCTTTCGTCTCTGTAAGGACGGACCTCTATTTGTTACTGAAAGTGAAACGTGTAAGGTCATTGAATCAAACTTTGTTGCACCTCTGTAGTTTCTATGATTACTAACAAGACTTACCGTGCTTAGCCGAATATTATTAATCATTATTGAAACATTCTCTAAGAAAATAACAAATGCAAAACATACCATAGACAAACACGTTAGACAAAACAATAGAGAAGGAAAGCATAAAAATTGCTTAATCAACAAAATCGATCAAGGCTGCATAAAGGAAACCTATAAAAATATATATGTGGGATACGCATTGTCTGCAACTTGTTATTATTTTGTTCAATTATTGAATTTCTATAATATTATCATAGAACACAATATAATAGTAGTAAGAAATATCTGTTTAAGACATACCAGGTGTGGCATACATTCGAACTGTATATAAATATCAATAATTTACATGATACAGTCATTAGTGATAAAAGTTCTTCCTAATATCATAATTTTTTATATTTAAAATATTTATATAACATATCAATTAATTATATATATCAATTATAAATACGATGCAAACTGATATACTGGAACGCTGTATCTCGCATTAATTGGAATGGTATTCAGTATTAACATATATCTCCAAACCATACTACGTAGGTGACAAAATAAAAAGCTATTTATAATTTAAAGGGATTTTGTATCGTGGACACAGATAGCATCAATCTGCACCATTAAAATTTTCAATTAGACTGTGGTTCCTGCAATCTAAATTTTACCAAAAACATCACACGACTTTTCATCTTTAGCAGTAATGTGTAAAGTGAATTATTCTATCATTAAAGGCGGTACGTAAAGTGAATTAGTCTGCCATAATATATGAAGTAACCATATTGTTTCCTTCATTATGATAATCAGAAATAATGGTGCTTAAATTTCACAAGTCTTTGAAGTATTTTGGAGGACATTTTATGCTGTCCTGTCAAGTTAACCACAAAGGGGTCAACTACCTTGTCCTGCCAGCGGATGCGTAGCATGTTGCGGGGTGGAAATGCTGCAGCTGGCTTTTATGTCCTTTGTAGATGGTCCAGGTTTCGCAGCCACGGGGAGCGTAGTGTGCAAAACTGCAAGGCTAGTCTAGTCTATTATTAAAGGTGATACTATAGTCAGCTAGTCTATTATTAAAAGTGGTACTAGTCAGTCAGCCTATTATTAAAGGTTGTACTATAGTCAGCTAGTCCAGTCTTAAAGGTGGTACTATAGTCCTGGGGGGCAAACGTGCAATCGAGGGGGGCAATTTAGCAAAGCACCTTAACAGACGATTAAACGTCGGGAAACGGACTTTCATGGAGTATTTTAGATTCGAGATTATTTTTGTTAAAACACACAAGTTATAATACGTTACATTTTTATTGCAGTTTTAGTTTAAACGTAGTCGGGTATGTTTTATGGCAAAACGTTGAACAATTACGTCCCAAATACGCTGAAGGCAAGAAGAACAAGATTGCGCTGGGTCATAGATCGTCGTTGTGGTGAGTCAACGCGAGTAAGAGTTGAAAAGCTGCTTTCACACACAGCGGTACTAGAACCGAATGTGGCAACGCTTGCAGTCAGTGCATATAATTTAGGGAAAGCCAATTTCTGCTCGTATAGTTTTTGAAGAACAAGATTGGAGTCCTGATTTTCTGTCTTGGCAACGTTATCTTGGAGAAATTGTTTTGACACCCCAGTTGTTAGGCCCCTTCCAGTATCACCTACAGCATGCTTCCAATATGTGTAGCCTTCAGTGATAAATTTTTATGCACCCGCAGATGTATTGTGAAACACCCGACATGGAAATAAAAAAGGGGCGTCCCTTGACACTGAATACTCCAGCCAAGGAAATCGATCATATCAGCTGTTACTAAAATGGCGACCAGACTTCGCTGGAAATTTTATTCTCGGTTGCTTTGGAACGTCTTCATTTCCAATGTCACCTGGTACTCCTGTCTTTTCAGAGCATCTTGGTACTGCATCCGTTGTGTTGCCCGCTGTGGTTTTGATACCAGTGTCAGTCGTAGTAGTGTCGGAACCATCAAGCAATTTGTCTTTTTTGATCAAATATTTATCCATTTTTCCTACGTTTGGTTGTTTGATTCATATGAATACAATTTAGGATAATATATGTCTATTAGTATTTATAATCAACCAATCAAATCTTTTGAATTTTGAGTCGGTACAGATTACAATCCAGTATCAGACCAATAATTTTGTTACCAATGACGCTTTACTGCAGACTTTTTATGATTTTCAACGAACTCAATTGTATCAAATTATCTATTCTAATGTAATTAAGTTCTTAAGTAGGTCTACAGATAGGAATACTTAGTATTTTGTTGAACCATTTCGCATAACGCAGCCCTGAAAGCCATAAACTTATTTTTCGTTACGTATAATCAAAATATCGAAATACTCATCATGTGACCGACAATGCAAGAGCAGCTGACTGGTGCACTTACTCCACCATAAAATGCCTGACCAGAATGACCACTGTTTGCTATTCACTCAGACTCAGTTACCTGCCGCTTCTTTTGACTCAGGAAAAAGAAAAGGTGTATTTTAAAAAAGTGACCGGTACATTTTTCTAGGGGGGGGGGGGGGAGGGGGGGCAGGTTTGGCTAAGGTCCTGACTAGAGTCAGCTAGTCCTTTATTAGATGTGGCACTATAGTCAGCTAGTTTATTATTAAAGGTGGTGCTATAGTCACCTAGACTATTATTAAAGATTGCACCATAGTCAGCTAGTCTATTATTAAAGGTGGTACTATAGTCAGTCAGTCATTTATTAAAAGGGGTACTATAGTCAGCTAGTCCAGTATTAAAGGTGGTACTATAGTCAGTCAGTCTATTATTAAAGGTGGTACTATAGTTAGCTTGTCTATTATCAAAGGTGGTACTATAGTCAGTCAGTCTATTATTAAAGGTGGTACTATAGTCAGCTAGTCCTTTATTAAATGTGGCACTATAGTCAGCTAGTTTATTATTAAAGGTGGTGCTATAGTCACCTGAACTATTATTAAAGATTGCACCATAGTCAGCTAAATTATTTTTAATGGTGGTACTATAGTCAGCCAGTCTACTATTAAAGGTGGCACTATAGTTAGCTAGTATATTATTAAAGATTATACTATAGTCAGCTATTCCAGTATTAAAGGTGGTACTATAGTCAGCTAGTTTATTATTAAAGGTTATACACTTGTCTTTTATTAAAAGTGGTAATATCGTGTGCAAGTCCAGTATTAAATGTGGCACTATAGTCAGCTAGTTTATTATTAAAGGTTATACTATAGTCAGCTAGTCTATTATTAAATGTTGTAATATAATCATCTAGTCTAGCATTAAAGGTGGTACTATAGTCAGGTAGTCTAGCATTAAAGGTAGTACTATAGTCAGCTAGTCTATTATTAAAGGTGGTACTATAGTCAGCTAGTCTATTATTAAATTTTGTAATATAATCATCTAGTCTATTATTAAAGGTGGTACTATAGTCAGCTAGTCTATTATTAAAGGTGGTACTATAGTCAGCTAGTCTATTATTAAATTTTGTAATATAATCATCTAGTCTATTATTAAAGGCGGTACTATAGTCAGCTAGTCTATTATTAAAGGTGGTTGTACAATTAGTAAGCAGTCTGCAGTAGGTACTTATAGGAATCTGAAATGAATTATCATAGAATACTGTAGTTTCTAAGTTTACAAAAATTAAAAGGCATAAGAGAATTTATAATTCACTTGTAGTAATTAACAAACTTTGCCTAACAATTGTGACTTCATGGGCCAATTAAAACGATGATATGTGGAATAGAAATATTATATAAGTTGGTGTTTCATATTCTATATCAATGTATGTTAAAATATATTTGTTTTGATATTTTTCGAAAATAGGGATTAAGTTGAGCGTACATAGGTTTTTTTACAAGAAATTGGTTACCAACTATTGGCTTACCTAACAAAGACTAGATTGAAGATCTTTGACGTTTATAACTGACAGTAATTGAAAATATTTGTTATATACCATTCCAATTTCTACAAATAGTTTTTATGTCTTGAAGCAGGTGAAAGACTGATATTAGTAAAATAACGACCTTACTTCCTGACAGATTATACATAGATCTTGACAGAAAATAAATTGAATTTATTCAACACTTTTTAGATGTTTATTCATGTTGTTCATGAGTGGGCTACAAGTTATAGATTTGGGGATAGAAAGATAATGTTTAGATTATCTATTTTCTGGCAGTAACGATTTTAGATAGTTCAGATATGTCATGAACGGTGATGACTTGACAAAACTTTTTGTGTGTTCATCGAAATCAGATCTGATATTATGCAGATTGTTTATATCAACAAGACAACTTTGATAACAATGCCATATCAAATCATTTCATATTTTAAATCTTTAAATAAAAAAATACCCATACAGGCAAAGCGAAGGCAGGATAACTTGGTGGTAGAAAAATAAACCACGTTTACCAAGAGCAGAAAACAAAATGCCGAAAATGGAAATAAATTTAAATATTTAAATTGATGCCTGAAACAAGATTTAATAAGGAGAAAATTAAACTACCTACAGGAAACATATTATCTATTGTTATATTTCAGATTGACCTGGGATTAATTATTTACAAAACTGATGGAAAAAAACTGGAGTTGATGAAAGCAATCTCGAACATCTACTATACTTAACAAAAAGAAATAACTAAACAAGTGACGTGATAAATAATTAATACACGACTTTTAGAAAAGGCTATATAACTACATCTAACAGTAAAATAGTTCAAGAATAAACCTATTATATTTTCTATTTATTTTTTCGCACCTAATTTGTCTGTCTTTTGAAAGTCCACTAATTATCATTCGACAGACGCATTTTTCTCGAGGTCATAACAAGTTATTTTCCAAATATATTTTTGTTATTTTTCTAGGGAAAATTACAATATTCTGTATCACAGAACTCAGCACCCACCTAATGAAACTTAATAGAACAATAACACTTGTTTTTTTTATTTGGTCTAGCCAGATTCCTCACATAAATGCACCATAATTAAATCAATTTACCTCGTCTTTCATTTTTACGTCAATTTACAAATAAATGCAACACATTTACGACAAATCATAAAAGAATACATTTTTCTATTATCAAATTCTCAAATGTCCCTCCGAATTAACAGCAATATACTCGACATTACTTTGATACACAGTATAGCTAGAACATTAACTTGACAATAACCTCAAAATATTCACTTTAATGCTTGCTGGTACTAAAAAAAACATAGTTTCCATTTAAATTAAGCAATTCATTTACACACAACACAGCCGATCATTTGATAGAATTACATAATAAACTAAAAACTTTGTCTCGTTAAATTTTTAAGAAAACCAGACAATGTTGCGCAAGCGGCAATGTTGTGAACTTTAGTTACACATCAAATTTGTACACATACCTTTCTTAGTACAATCTACATCGATCGGTGTCTTTTTTCTCATTTTTGCATTCATCAGACCTCCAATTAGAATGAAAAGACATAACTCATGTATTGAACAGTGAACATTTTGACAAGTTTTTCAGCAGTACTCTACATCATAAAAGCCATTACTGCCGACTCCATAGCAATCTCGCCGCAAATACGCCATTATCTTATCTAAATATTTCAGTAATAAACGAAGCAGTGAGAGTCAAGATGGTATAATAAAGATTTGTTGTAGGTAGAAATTGAATGCGTCCCAAGTGAGATATAATTGTAAATAGTTAACATACTTAAAGCACTATCTAAATTTACTGTTATTTTTCTATTACCTACTTCAAGTAATGATCCAGCACTTAACACCATTTAACCATTCAAAGTTTCTAAAGGGATACATTATACACTTGGAAGGTAATCTGACATTTGGACAAATTCCAAATAAAAAACAGAATATAATAAAACGCCTTTCGTAATTTTATCTGTACAAGAACTTTTTTGTTATCATGAAGAATTTAAAACAAAAAATTCACCACTTTTTTTTCATTTTGAGATAATAAAATAATGAAACAGTATTATTTGGGTTTTTTTAATCAAAAGAAGAAAAAAAAATTTTTATATCTGGTTTTTTTTTTTTGTAACGTCGTTAATGGTCAAATTATTTTCGGTAGCGATTTCATTAATTTAATCAAGATTTTTTCTTAAATGCAGAGAGGTATTACATGACGTCACGTCATGTACCATTTTTCAAGGCAATCCAGAAGGCGCCGAAATTGTCGGTTTTATACTTTAATTGGCTTTACGATATAATTCCCACCGTTGTTTGGTAAATAAAGACTACAACGTGTTAATTAATCAGTATATTGATTGACAGAATTGCCTTCTTCAATAATACAGATGATTATTACAATGGAATGGTATACCTGCTGATAATGCGTCGGTCTTTTCCTGATGACAACCAACAATGTTTTTCACAATACTTTTTAAACTAAACATGACTGATAGTTACTTGGTACATTCAGAAAATTTTGTTGAAAACAGGGGAGTTCAGTTAGTGAACATCAATATCCAATTAATATGAATCAAATTTAATCAGTATATAGAATAATTGCTAGTGTTGTCTAGTTCATTTTCCTATTAACACGTTATACTAATCATATAGATACATCCTGCTACAAAATAACTCTTTACTTTCACTTACTCGTCAAGGATAATGAGATTTTAATCAGATTAGACATTGTTTCATTAATAGCTCTCGTATTTACCACTTATCCCAATATCAATTAACTCATATAATGGGTTATCCAAAACTTTTTAGTTTTCAGAAATATATAGAATAAGCGGTCAATATAACCAAAGAAAAAAACAACAACACCGTTATCAAAATATTAATATTTACTTCAAAATATTCATTTCTAATTTACTTTTACTAAACCTACAATTTACTCATTAATTCATGTCATTCAATACAATCTCTTTTAAAAAATACAATTCAAGTTCTGTAGTAAATAGTATTTTAGTTCCAGTGTGTATTGACTTTAAAAAGATTTTAAATTTTCGAGGGAATAAGAGACTAATATTATTCTTCGATTTCAATTTAATTATTCGTTGAAACTCAATATAAATCTTTATAAAAACGCAATAACTTGGGGTTTTTTTTAAATTCTTGCGATGTAGATTCTACACGTATATAGCAATAGGACCGAATAATCTCATTACCATCTGGAAGAAACAACATATAACGAACATTTCAAACTGTTAAACTCTTAATGTCATTTTTAACCGTCAAAATAAGTATTCTCATTCGTATGTATGGTATTGACAGAAACTAATACTGTCTAGATTTAACTCTTAAAATTAGCCATGCTACGCCCACATAACAACAATCATCCATTGCTCTACAGAACCACAATAAAATGAATGTCGATTCAGTGTCAACCTGTTTTATGTTGAACTGTGAATCACGTTTTCGAACAAATGAAATGCAATTTTAATTTTGAAATCTCGTTTAAGATGGCGACCAATAGCGATTCCCAATGAAACTGTGTTTGTAACATTCTTGAAGATTTCATTTCAGAGCAGATGTCAGGAGAAATTTGATCAATGGAATTTTGGAGACCCCCGCTGCGTTTGGCACGGAGGACCAAGGCAAAATGTGCAAAATAAGACATTGATAGTTACCACATGTAATGATGTACTTTCAGTGAATTTCAGGATAATTCATACAACGCATCTTACTAAAAAAATATATATTTAATCTGTACCTTTGATGGTCTGTATAATTCAATTTGGCTATAGCACTTGGTTGGACGTGTCTGGTTGTCACACTGCAGCGGCTAATTCGTCTGGTATTGATCATTCTGTACTCTCTGTCTCTGAGAAGTGTCAACTAAAAAAATAAACTTTGTTTGGCTGTGGTTAAATACTGCGTGCAGAGGTCATTTGTTACCTCAAGAGCAATAACTCGTTAACTGGTCATCAAACAATATTAATCATATATTCTTCTTACCAATCTACATTTACATGAAATTTGGTGACAGAGTGAAGCTTCAGCCCAAATAAATTTTAGACATGTTTAGTTGATATGTGTTGGTGGAAAATGTGTTTATATCGAGTGTAAATTGTTCCAAAAACTTATTTTTATCAACGCAAAACCATTATAAAGCTTATCAGTTCAAGAGTACTCTGGAGCTGTTCAAGTAATATAAAGAATTAGATTTACCGACAAAGGTGTGGTCAGCAAAATATAGTCCCATCCACACCTTCCCCCTCCCAACCACCATCGTTTTTCTTAACTACACCAAAGTTAACAACCCTTTGTTTCAAGGTTTAATTTAACTCAATTCTACCGATTGAATTCTACTCAGTGTCGTATTCAACCTCGAACTAAAACCAGTGTTTTCATAGCTTGAGTGTGAGTAGAATTCAGGGGGTCAGTTTACTGCGCGTGTCAACTGAAGTCACTTTTCAAGCGGAGATCCTGGGCATAACAACCACTAGATGCTTGTAGTAGACGAGACTTCAACCCGTAAAAAGTATGTTATTCACATACTCAAATGTTAAAAACATGATGAATTACAATAGGACTTTCATGTTTCTATCTATTGCAAAGTTCAAAAGGTCATTTATTTTGATCGAATGTTTTGTTGTATTTTACAGGTGTCCATTTTAAAAGGGAACTCAAAACGTCAATGTATTCTGGAACCTTATTTCTGGACGAATGTGTTCTTGAATGTAGACCATCTATTTCTTAACAACCACCCACAGTCGTGGTTACTCTATTTGACACCCCAGTCGAGTGAAACGATGGTGTTATCAAGATGTCCCAGAGTTCAGTTATTTGGTGAAAGATCAACATTCGGTAAGTGGTTATGAAATTTCGTATTCAAGATGAAAGTCCCTTCCAGATGTACCACTTTAAATGCACCTGGACCTGCAATTTACCGAGTTTCCATGAACTATTATGTTATTATGATTTCGCTAATGTAAATGTGTCTTTGATTTTAAATTTCTTCCTCAGAATGTTGACGATTCTGTAACAAGATTCCAAAAAGAATATCTTTCTTTTCAGATTATTGCTAATCCATAATAGAGTAGTTATTCAAAATCTAAGTTGAAGTTGGTGTAGTTTCATGGAGGTCTTTGAGAAGAAGGATGGCAAAAATGTCCAGACAAAAATATGTGTGGTTGAAGCGTGTGGGTATTTTATGTTATCTGTCTTCAATGGGTTTGCAATCAGATGGCTGAAGGATTATTGCCCTTTTCTGTTAACAGGTATTCAACTGTTGACGACGGTGAGCAGACGACCCACTTGTGTCGAGCTTAGTTCGTGCTTAAGTTGGTTTTTCATTGGTCAACGAACAGCCAATTAGGTGTGCATGCATGGAAAGCTGCTCTGATTTTCAAGGGTGGGTCGCAATATGCCACACGAAAGTTACCCATGACTGGTATGTGCTGGAAATGTGGAGCTTTCTGTTGGTGCATGTTCGGTGTTCTTGGTGCATGGATTGAGTAGATACCTTGATCTATTTGTCTAAAGTGGTGTTCTGGGCTATCATCTGAAAATCATGCTAGTTACAATGTAGCAATCCCTTGCACCCTCTCGTATCTCTTTGAGTAAAATTTCCGTTATGTTTCTCTTTAGGCATAAAAGTCATGACAGGTTTACTGGCCAGCAAATTATTTCCTTTTACTCCTGAGTATGGATTGTATCGAATCATGATATGGCGATGTTAGGGCTAACGTCAGGATTTCGAGTTAGGGATAGCATCATCGGAGCAAGAATGATGCCCTACCGAACACTAATTATAGCCATGACTACCACTTTGTCTAACATTAATTGGCCAAACACCCAGTTGTCTACTCAATCTTGGCACCACGAACACCTAACACGCACCAACAGGATACTCCACACTTCCAATGCATGTGAGTCCGGATCAGCTTTCGTTCAGCAATCTGCCATCCTGCCTCGGGAGTTCGATCTGCTTCCCATGCTATGCTCACCAAATTAGAAGCCCGGCAGAGCCCACATAAGCACCTCCTAAGCTCTGTACAACAAGGCAATCCTTTACTCACTATTGACTGAAACAAAACAACGGACAACGAGTC